TGTGTCTCTGTGTGCGTGTGTCTGTGTCTCTGTGTGTGTCTCTTGTGTGTGTCTGTGTCTCTGTGTGCGTGTGTCTGTGTCTCTGTGTGTGTCTGTGTCTCTGTGTGGCGTGTGTCTGTGTCTCTGTGTGCGTGTGTCTGTGTCTCTGTGTGCGTGTGTCTGTGTCTCTGTGTGTGTCTCTGTGTGTGTGTGTCTCTGTGTGTGTCTGTGTCTCTGTGTGCTGTGTCTGTGTCTCTGTGTGTGTGCGTGTGTCTGTGTCTCTGTGTGCGTGTGTCTCTGTGTGTCTCTGTGTGTGTGTCTCTGTGTGCATGTGTCTGTGTCTCTGTGTGTGTGTCTGTGTCTCTGTGTGTGTGTGTGTGTGTGTCTCTGTGTGCGTGTGTCTGTGTCTCTGTGTGTGTGTGTCTCTGTGTGTGTCTGTGTCTCTGTGTGCGTGTGTCTGTGTCTCTGTGTGTGTGCGTGTGTCTGTGTCTCTGTGTGCGTGTGTCTCTGTGTGTCTCTGTGTGTGTGTCTCTGTGTGCATGTGTCTGTGTCTCTGTGTGTGTGTGTGTGTGTGCGTGTGTCTGTGTCTCTGTGTGTGTGTGTGTGTGTCTCTGTGTGTCTGTGTGTGTGTGTCTCTGTGTGTGTGTGTGTCTGTGTCTCTGTGTGCGTGTGTGTGTGTGTGTGTGTGTCTCTGTGTGTGTGTGTGTCTCTGTGTGTGTGTCTCTGTGTGTGTCTGTGTCTCTGTGTGTGTGTGTGTTAGGAGTGAACCGTCACTTCCACATGATCTGCATCAGAGATAAATTCAGTCAGAATATCGGCCGACAGGTTTCCTCCTCCGTCATCTGGGATCACCTGGGAACCATGTACGACATGCAGGCTCTGGTGAGGACACACACACGCTGAGATATACACACTGAGATATACACACTGAGATACACACACTGAGATATACACACTGAGATATACACACTGAGATACACACACTGAGATATACACACTGAGATATACACACTGAGATATACACAGAGATACACACACTGAGATACACACACTGAGATACACACACTGAGATATACACACTGAGATATACACACTGAGATACACACACTGAGATATACACACTGAGATATACACTGAGATATACACACGCTGAGATATACACACTGAGATATACACTGAGATACACACACTGAGATACACACACTGAGATACACACTGAGATATACACACGCTGAGATATACACACGCTGAGATACACACTGAGATACACACACTGAGATACACACACTGAGATATACACACGCTGAGATATACACACGCTGAGATATATACACGCTGAGATATACACACACGCTGAGATATACACACTGAGATATACACACTGAGATATACACACTGAGATATACACACTGAGATATACACACACTGAGATATATACACTGAGATATACACACTGAGATATACACACTGAGATATACACACTGAGATATATACACACACTGAGATATATACACACTGAGATATACACACACACTGAGATATACACACACTGAGATATACACACTGAGATATACACACACACTGAGATATACACCCTGAGATATACACACTGAGATATACACACACTGAGATATACACACACTGAGATATATACACACTGAGATATATACACACTGAGATATACACACACTGAGATACACACACTGAGTATATACACACACTGAGATATACACACGCTGAGATATAGACACTGAGATATACACACACGCTGAGATATACACACACGCTGAGATATACACACTGAGATATACACACTGAGATATACACACTGAGATATACACGCTGAGATATACACGCTGAGATATACACACACGCTGAGATATAGACACTGAGATATACACACACGCTGAGATATACACACACACTGAGATATACACACTGAGATATACACACTGAGATATACACACACTGAGATATACACACACTGAGATATATACACACTGAGATACACACATGAGATATCACACGAATATCACACGCTGAGATATAGACACTGAGATATACACACCTGAGATATACACACTGAGATATACACACTGAGATATACACGCTGAGATATACACGCTGAGATATACACGCTGAGATATACACACACGCTGAGATACACACACACTGAGATACACACACACTGAGATATATACACACACTGAGATATATACACACACTGAGATATATACACACTGAGATATACACACACACTGAGATATACACACACTGAGATATACACACTGAGATATACACACACACTGAGATATACACCTGAGATATACACACTGAGATATACACACACTGAGATATACACACACTGAGATATATACACACTGAGATACACACACTGAGATATACACACTGAGATATATACACACTGAGATATACACACACTGAGATACACACACTGAGATATATACACACACTCACTGAGATATATACACACACTGAGATATATACACTGAGATATACACTGAGATATACACTGAGATATATACACACACTGAGATATACACTGAGATATACACACACTGAGATATACACACTGAGATATACACACACGCTGAGATATACACACACGCTGAGATATATACACACAGAGATACACACACTGAGATACACACTGAGATATACACGCTGAGATATACACGCTGAGATATATACACACTGAGATATACACGCTGAGATATATACACGCTGAGATATACACGCTGAGATATACACACACGCTGAGATATACACACACGCTGAGATATATACACACAGAGATACACACACTGAGATACACACTGAGATATACACGCTGAGATATACACGCTGAGATATATACACGCTGAGATACACACACTGAGATATACACACACGCTGAGATATACACACACGCTGAGATATACACACACACTGAGATATATACACACTGAGATATATACACACTGAGATATACACACACTGAGATATACACACTGAGATATACACACTGAGATATACACACTGAGATATACACACTGAGATATACACACACTGATATATACACACACTGAGATATATACACACACTGAGATATATACACACTGAGATATACACACACACTGAGATATACACACTGAGATATACACACACACTGAGATATACACCCTGAGATATACACACTGAGATATACACACACTGAGATATATACACACTGAGATATACACACACTGAGATATACACACTGAGATATACACTGAGATACACACACTGAGATATACACACTGAGATATATACACACACTGAGATATATACACACACTGAGATATATACACACACTGAGATATATACACTGAGATATACACTGAGATATACACACACTGAGATATACACACACTGAGATACACACACTGAGATATACACTGAGATATACACACACTGAGATATACACACTGAGATATATACACACACTGAGATATATACACACGCTGAGATATACACACTGAGATATACACACTGAGATATATACACACACTGAGATATACACACACGCTGAGATATATACACACACAGATATATACACACGCTGAGATATATACACACGCTGAGATATATACACACTGAGATATATACACACAGAGATATACACACACTGAGATATACACACTGAGATATATACACACACTGAGATATACACACACTGAGATATATACACACTGAGATATATACACACACTGAGATATACACACGCACTGAGATATACACACTGAGATATACACACTGAGATATACACACACACTGAGATATACACACAGAGATACACAGAGATATATACACACTGAGATACACACACTGAGATATATACACACACTGAGATATATACACACGCTGAGATATATACACTGAGATATACACACACACTGAGATATACACACACTGAGATATATATACTGAGATATACACACTGAGATATACACACACTCTGAGATACACACACTGAGATATACACACACACTGAGATATACACACACACTGAGATATACACACAGAGATATACACACACTGAGATATACACACTGAGATATATACACACACTGAGATATATACACGCACTGAGATATACACACTGAGATATACACACTGAGATATACACACACACTGAGATATACACACAGAGATACACAGAGATATACACACACTGAGATATACACACTGAGATATATACACACACTGAGATATATACACACGCTGAGATATATACACTGAGATATACACACACACTGAGATATACACACTGAGATATATATACTGAGATATACACACTGAGATATACACACACTCTGAGATACACACACACTGAGATACACACACTGAGATACACACACTGAGATATATACACACTGAGATATACACACACTGAGATATACACTCTGAGATACACACACTGAGATATCTCCACACACTGAGATATACACACACACTGAGATATATACACACACTGAGATATATACACACGCTGAGATATATACACACACTGAGATATACACACTGAGATACACACACTGAGCTATACACACTGAGATATACACACACTGAGATATACACACTGAGATATATACACACACTGAGATATACACACACTGAGATATACACACACTGAGATATATATACACACTGAGATATATATACACACTGAGATATATATACACACTGAGAGATATATACACACGCTGAGATATATACACACTGAGATATACACACACTGAGATATATACACACACTGAGATATACACACTGAGATATATATACACACTGAGATATACACACACTGAGCTATATATACACACTGAGATATACACACACTGAGATATATATACACACTGAGATATATATACACACGCTGAGATATATACACACTGAGATATATACACACTGAGCTATACACACTGAGATATACATACACTGAGATATATACACACTGAGCTATACACACTGAGATATATACACACTGAGATATATACACACTGAGATATACACACACTGAGATATATACACACTGAGCTATACACACTGAGATATACACACACTGAGATATATACACACTGAGCTATACACACTGAGATATATACACACTGAGCTATACACACTGAGATATATACACACTGAGATATACACACACTGAGATATACACACACTGAGATATATATACACACTGAGATATATATATACACACTGAGATATATATATACACACGCTGAGATATATACACACGCTGAGATATATACACACTGAGATATACACACACTGAGATATATACACACACTGAGATATATACACACACTGAGATATACACACTGAGATATATATACACACTGAGATATACACACACTGAGCTATATATACACACTGAGATATACACACACTGAGAGATATACACACACTGAGATATACACACACTGAGATATATATACACACTGAGATATATATACACACTGAGATATACACACACTGAGATATACACACTGAGATATATATACACACTGAGATATACACACTGAGATATACACACACTGAGATATATATATACACACGCTGAGATATATACACACGCTGAGATATATACACACTGAGATATACACACACTGAGATATATACACACACTGAGATATATACACACACTGAGATATACACACTGAGATATATATACACACTGAGATATACACACACTGAGCTATATATACACACTGAGATATACACACACTGAGAGATATACACACACTGAGATATACACACACTGAGATATATATACACACTGAGATATATATACACACTGAGATATACACACACTGAGATATACACACTGAGATATATATACACACTGAGATATACACACTGAGATATACACACACTGAGATATACACACTGAGATATATATACACACTGAGATATACACACACTGAGATATACACACTGAGATATACACACATCATAAAAGTGTGTGTGTGTGTGTGTGTGTTCTGCAGCACGAGTCTGAGATTCTCCCGTTTCCAAACTCGGAGAAGAGCTTCTCTCTTCCTGATGACATCATCCAGGAGGTCAAAGAAGGTCAGCATGCTTCTGTTACTTTAACACTTCCACAGCGCTTCATGCAGAGACAGCTGATCTCCTCTCTGAGTCTGATCCTGGACCTGTAAACATGATGAGAGAGAGAGAGAGAGAGAGAGAGAGAGAGAGAGAGAGAGAGAGAGAGAGAGAGAGAGAGAGAGAGAGAGAGAGACCACATCTGTTTCTGTTTGTAGGAAAACTTTGTTCAGAGGAGGAAACAAAAGAAGAGTTCAGGATGGAGAGAGAACCTCCAGCTACACATGAAGAAGGTACTCTCTCTCTCTGTCTCTCTCTACTTCTGTCTGTCTGTCTCTGTCTCTCTACTTCTGTCTGTCTCTATCTCTCTCTCTGTCTCTCTCTACTTCTGTCTGTCTGTCTCTCTCTCTGTCTCTCTCTACTTCTGTCTCTCTCTCTCCCCCCCCCCTCTCTCTCTCTACCTCTGTCTGTCTCTCTTTCTCTCTCCCTCTTATCTTTTGTAAATTAAATCCTCCCTGTGTGTTTTTCAGCACATTAGCGCCCCCTGGTGTCTGAAGTGACACCATGAGACCAGCTCTTCACTGTTCTCTGTTCTCTCTGTTCAGGCAGTAACTCATCGGTGAAGATGTCCGAGCGAACGAGCAGTAGTCGGGAAAAGGAGAGAGAACGAGACAAGGAGAAAGGGGCGAGTGAAGGAGGAGCAGCGGGCGGCGGAGGAGCAGGAGGGGGAGGAGGGAAGGAGGCAGAGAAGAGGAAGAGGAGTCGAGCTGCTGAGAAACTGATGTCGTCTTCCAACCCGGCGAGTCCAGGAGGAGCCAAGAGGAGACGCACCTGAAAGAGAGAGGGAGAGAGAGGGGGAGAGTGAGAGAGAGAGAGAGAGAGAGGGGGGGAGGGTGAGAGAGAGAGGGGGAGAGGGAGGGCAAGAGAGAGAGGGAGAGGAGGAGAGAGAGAGTGAGAGAGAGAGAGAGGGGAGGGTGAGAGAGAGAGGGGAGGGTGAGAGAGAGAGGGAGAGAGGGGGAGAGAGAGAGAGAAAAGCTCAAACCTTTGAGCTTCGTGTCAAATGACTCCCGGATCGCCGCGCTGCAAACATGACGTGGCGAGATGGAAAAGAGGGGGAGCTTCATTCCTTTAAACAGCTGCTGCTCTTCATCAGGTGACCACAGCGTCAGGAAGGGACATGTCTGAACGCTGCAGCCTTTTAGGACATGATCCGTGTGCCACACAACAGCTGACCACAGAGACGGCCAATCGGCTTCATTGTTTATGTTTTGATCATCATGTCGTTTTCTCTTAACACGGTGAGAACTCAGAACGCATGCTGACCAAAAGATGAAGCACAGAGATCTCCCTATTCCAAACCTTCTTCTTTCCTGTCCAAACTTGGTGCCTACATTACCCACAATGTAGCTTCACTCACACGCCCTTTTCTAAAGTGGTACAGCGCCGTAATGAATCCCCGCCGTCACCATGCCTTAAGAACTTGATGTGGATTCAGAAAGCGGGCATGCAGATGACCCAACAAGTCCCCAGACCCGCCCACAAACATGGCGTTCTACCGTGTCGACCGGCATGTGCGTCCTGAATTAAAGCTACAAAATACTGGCACCAAATGAAACAGTCCGTTTAGTTAAAACACTGTTGTTAGGATTTTATCAAGTCAACTTTGGTTATATTCTTTAATAATTATATTTAATTATTAATAATATCAATAAAAATATCTTTAAACTATGTTTAATCAACTCTTGGGGGCACCACCCTGTAATCAGGAAAATATCACTCAAATCAGTCTCAAATTAGTTACTTAGTTAATAATATCATTGATAATTAATAACTATATTAATAAATTGATTTTAGTGATATTTTGGTTATTTTTCCCTGATTTCAGGGTGGTGCCCCAAGAGTTGATTAAACATAGTTTAATGATATTTATATTATTAATAATTAAATATAATTCTTAAAGAATATAACCAAAGTTGGCTTGATAAAATCCTAACAAGGTTGAATAAGTTCATTACATAATTTTCTTTCTGGGGGGGGGGGGGGGGTGTGAAGCATGTAACTTATCAACAGAGAACTTTAACCTTTGGTTCTGTGTCAGAGTCAGACCTCGGTCTTCTGGGTCGTGTGGTCACGATGGTTATGACGCACTCAGCTCCTTGACGGCATGGAACAGCTGGGTGCTGAATCCCTGATAATTACAAACTGCCAAACGGACGCTTTGAGCCGACGCTCCTCTTCAGCGTGTAACCGGCAATACTCCTGAACCTCCATGTTGAGAATGTGTTTGCTGGAGACGCCCCCTGCTGGGGTTAACTGATACCTGCTTTGTGTAAACCTGAAAACATGAAAAGTTTCAAGCTCTGTCCTCAAATCAAACGAGAACGACTCCAGTGTGAAACACAGCGGGACAAACAGAAGTCAGCTGATCTTTGTTTTTTTATCATATCAGACAAACTGCAGGTGAACTCCTGAAAACACATCTTCAACGTTTCTGGACTAAAATGTTTCCGATGTGCGATTATAACAGCGTGCAGGAGTTTACCTGCAGTTCTCTGACTCACCTGTCTTAAAGATGTTTTGGTGCTTTTCAAAAACCGATTGTATCGTTTGAAACTTGTGGTATCCTGAAGGATCAACATTTATGACATCCGGCCTGAAGTTTGCTTTTCACTCTTCCCCAAACAGACTTCATCTCTCAGAAAACTGCGCCCCCTAATTTCTACTAGAGGGCGCTACCTTACTTTGATGATAAAGAGCGGTGTCGTCCAAACTTCCTGCCGCCTCGTGTGTGTTTGTAGATGAATGAAGGTGGAGATGTCACAAACCAAACACATAGTTGAGGGTTTTATTGTTTTGTTTTTTTGTAATGGTTTAGTTTTTTAATCATCAGGTGAGCCGGAGGTCAGGGGTCGTTGAGACCAGAGAGACGACTCGGTCCGACCACGCTGAAATCAGCAGCTTGCTGAACGTTTTCCGATCTGATGCAATAAATCTCACCTGTTTATTCTTCTTCCAGACATTTTCTTGTAAATATATTCTGGTTAGACTTTGGTTTCCTGTGGCGTCGAGCGTGACGCGGATATGAACTGTTAACTCTTTCAGTTTGAGTATGTGTGTTTGAATGACACGCCGAACATTCAGTCAGCTGATTGAAAGAAAAAATGTTCCCTTTAATTTTTCTCTGACATATTTTATTTATTGAAGTCTGACGATGTTTGTGTCATTAAAGATGAACTCCGATCACTTCCTGTTTCCTCTTCTTATTAAAGGAGCAGTATGTAACTCTGACTCCTAGTGTTTAAAATGGGTACTGCAGTCTAAATTCTAAACATCATAGAGAGCTGTCTCCCCCCCCCTCCTCTCTAGAGTGGATGCTCACTGAGGTCACCATGTGGTGGACTCTGAAGCTTCAGTGTTTATCCAGCTCTGCATGGGTCTGTAAACCTTTCTGTGTTCTAACCTCTCTCCATTTTTCAAAAGCATCTCCAATATTGATCCTAGTTTGAGCACGTTTCTGCTCGTGGAGCTTATTAGAAACATGCAGAGGCTTTTTAGGTCGGGTACAATCACTTCTATCTGAACCACTTCTCTTGACCGCTTCCATCGCTGCAACACCTGTTGACCTGATAACTGCTCTCATATCTGACAAACCGAGGGGCGTCCAAAACGGCCGTGTAGGGGTCGCCTTAAAAGCGCCTACCTTCTCTGGTCCAAACAAATCCAGATCATTCAGGAGCAGAATCTAAAGTTAGAAGGAGGACATACTGGCTGCTGCATTGTTGTCAGAGAAGCCAGCACTTCAACATAGCATGTTTCCTTAATGATCAGAGAGTAAGATACCTTTATCATCTCACTCTCTACACAGCTCACTGATAGGTGTTTCTGTTCTGAACCTAAACAATGTCTTCATGTGTCCACCAGGGGGCGATGTGCTCCTGCTGTGGAACTAAACCTGCTCACACTGTTCACCAAAATAAAAAAAATTAACTTTTGAAATCTTTTGACTTAAGATAAATGTTTTTTTTAAAGGAAAAATAATATTTTAAGAAATTGTGTTTATCTTATCTCAACGATTGAACATGAACTCATCTTTAAATACATAAAAACAAACTGAACCACTGATTTTATTCACAAACATCAACGTGAATGAAGTTCAGTCTACATAAACACAAATCCAGTTCAATAGAAGGAAATATTTCCTTTATAGAAGAAGAAAACCTGTTCATGCTGTCTCACATTTAGAGAAACACAATGCACATTTAGAAGCAATGCTAACGACTGAAACGGGCCGCAAAAGAACCAGGAGGAGAAACACAGGAGAAGAGCAGGAGGAGGAAGGAGGTATAAAATGAAGTGGGGAGGGAAACAAAAAGTGCTGAAAGGAAAGACAAAACATGAAAATCAGGAAACGGAAGAAAATAGGAGAGGAAGTTTATTCAAATAAAATATTATAATAGTGTAAATTATTTAATTATTATTTAAATATCAAATGGAAGGAGGTAAAGAAGGAGATAAGGATGGCGAGGATGCATCGAAGAAAAGGAAGAGGAGACAATGAGGTAGAGATGGCATGACCTAAGGAACAAGGAAAGGAGATGATGAAGTAGAGGAGGATGTAATATGGAACATGGCCTCATGACGAACTAGGAAAGAGATGGGAAGGAAGGCGAATGCAAGGAATGGTACAAGGAAATAGGCCATGAAAGAAGGAAGAATAACCTCATAAGGTAGAAGGAAAGGAGAATAGAGAGGAAAGGAGGAATGACCAAAGGGAAGGAAAGAAGGAGTTGTGTGTGAAGAGTGTGAAGAAAGGCAAATTATGAAGGAGTTTGGAAGTACTGGTTGTCTCAAAGTGGTGAAAAGAAAAGAGGAAAGGAAAGAAGTAAAAAAGGAGAGAGAGAGAGGAGCTTAGCAGGACGAGTGTCAATCCAGGCTGAGAGAGCTGTCAGTTTGACTGAGAGGAAAACAGAACGAACGAGTGTGAGAACGGACGACAGAACTGCTGCTGAATATTCATGAACCGCTGAGAGTTCCCAGAGCTGAGCGTGTGTGTGTGTGTGTGTGTGTGTGTGTGTGTGTGTGTGTGTGTGTGTGTGTGTGTGTGTGTGCGCGCGTGCGTGTGCGTGCGTGTGTGTGATCTTGTCTACATATCCTAAAGGGGACCATAGTATCGTTAAACACTCACCCTCAGAGGACCTCTTGGACCTCTGCTGTTGGTGATGCTTTAATCAATGCTAAAATCATGTCCAAGACCCTCTGGTGATTTAAAAAAAAAGATTTTAGTGAAAGGAAAACATGTAGGTGTGTCACACTCAGCACGGCCCCCTGCAGGCTAACATTTGAATTTCAGCGACTCACCATTGCAATTTATTTTTATTTTTATTAAGAAAGTTTAGAAATCTCCGTCCATGGAGGTCCAGAACGACGGTCAACGGTTGGTGATGTATGAATGTGTGTGTGCTTTTCTCTGTGTGTGTGTTTGTGTGTTTTGACAGCGCTGCCTTGTCCATGTTTATTCATAAATCATCTCATGTTTATTCATACTGGATTATGTAAACAAGTAAGTAGGCGTATTCATACACATACACACACACACACACACACACACACACACAGACTGAGGTGCTGCTGGACAACCGTTACACACACACACACACATCTGTGAGTGTGTCCAGCCGTGTGTATATGTGTGTGTGTGTTCTAAGTTGTACAGTAATTTGTTTGTTAAGCATTTAGGACACAAACTTTGTATATATTTATTTTCTTTTGGGGGTTAAAATAAACATAGACTCTAAAGTTCTTTATTTAAACGGTCAGTTTGTAAATTCCACCACCAGGGGGCTCTGAATCAAAACAACATCAAAAGATGGCGTTCAGGCTGG